TGTGTTGGCATTGGTAAAAAAAAGAAAAGAAAGTCAGAAAAAGACATGCTGTGGCATTGTGAAATATATGTATGGTCTTCCTCTTGTTCCAGACACACAGCCTCTAGAACCCTTGGAATCTACAGAGTGATAAGGAAGTGTTTTGTATGTGTGCAGGCTAATTTTATGTCAACTTGACACAAGCTAGAGTCATCTGAGAGGAGGAAACCTCATTTGAGAAAATAACCCCCAATTAAGATTGAGCTATAGCCGGGCAGTGGTGACGCGTGTCTTTAATCCCAGCACTCAGGAGGCAGAGGCAGGCGGATCTCTGTGAGTTCGCGGCCAACCTGGTCTGCAGAGTCAATTCCAGAATGGCCAGGGTGGTTACACAGAGAAACCTTGTCTCAACAAAAAAAAAAAAAAAAGATTGAGCTATAGGCAAGCCTGCAAGGGGTTTTCTGTTGCTAGAGTTTTCCTGCCTAGCCCACAATCAGGACAAATCTCTCTCATCCGCCAGTCCCAAGCCGCTCAAACCCAATCAAGTAAACATAGAGACTTATATTGGTTACAAACTGTATGGCCATGGCAGGCTTCTTGCTAACTGTTCTTACAGCTTAAATTAATCCATTTCTATTCATCTATATCTTGCCACGTGGCTTGTGGCTTACCGGTACTTTACATCTTCCTTATCCTGATGGCGGCTGGCAGTGTCTCCCCCATCCAGCTTCCTGTTCTCTCAATTCTCCTCTCTGTTAGTCCCATCTATACTTCCTGTCTGGCCACTGCCAATCAGTGATTTATTCATTGACCAATCAGCAACACATTTGACATACAGACCATCCCACAGCAGTTTTCTTAATCAGTGATTGATGTGGGAGGGCCCAGACCATTGTGGGCAGTGCCGTCCCTGGACTGGTGGTTCTGGGTGCTATAAGAAAGCAGGCTGTGTAAGCCATGATGAGCAAGCCAGTAAGCAGCATCCCTCCATGGCCTCTGCATCAGCTCCTGCCTCCAAGTTCCTGCCCTGTTTGCGTTCCTGCCCTGGCTTCCTTCAATAACAGACTACTATGTGGAAGTATAAGCCAAATAAACCTTTTCTTCCCCAACTTGCTTTGGTCATGGTGTTTCATCATAGCAATAGTAACCCTAACTAGACCCAGACATTAGATGATCGACACTTTCATCCCCCTGCCACCCTCCAGACTGAAGGCAAACTCGATCAGTGGCTAGGGATGTAATCAATCATGCTTCCTAATGAAGCTTCCATACATAACCTAAAAGGATCAGGCTCAAGCCAGGTACGGTGACACACACCTGTAATCCCAGCACTTGGAAGAGAGAGGGAAGAGAATTGAGAATTCAACGCAGAGCCAGCCTCAACTACATAGCAAGGCCCAGGCTTCCGGAACTACATGAGACTGAATAAAATAAAACAAATAAGAGGGCTCAAATAGCTGGATCTACTAGAGGTTCCTTGTATGTGGACCACCCGAAGAGGACAGGAACGTGCTTTGCCCCTCCTCACATGCCTGACCTTCTGCATCTTTTGCATCCGGCTATTCTGCTTCCTTTATTGTATCCCCAGTGAACCAGTGCGCATGGCTCTCTCTGGCTCCTTGAGTCACGCTAGCAAATTAACCAAACTCTCTATCTGCTACAGTGTTTCTCTCTTTTAAAAATTCAAGTTTATTTTTTAATTAGACGTCTATATGTGTTGGAGGGAGGGATGTACAATTGAGTGCACGTGCATGCAGTGGCCAGAAGAGGACGTCAGATCCCTTGGATCCGGAGTTCAGGCTGTTGTGAGCTGCCCCCATGTGGGTGCTGGGAACCCAGTTCCAGTCCTCTGCTGAGCTATCTCTCCAAGCTGGTGTCTCTTTTTTTTAAAATTATATTGCATTTATTTATTTGTGTGTACATATGCATGTATGTGGAAGACAGAGGCAACTTATAGGAATCAGGTCTCTCCTTCCACCATGTGGATCCTAGGAATTAAATGCAAGTCAGCAGGCTTGACAGCAAATGCCTTTACCCACTGAGCCATCTCAGCCAAATGTTTCTTTTCTTTTTTTTTTTTGATTTCTCAAGACAGGGTTTCTCTGTGTAGCTTTGCGCCTTTCCTGGAACTCACTTGGTAGCCCAGGCTGGACTCAAACTCACAGAGATCCGCCTGGCTCTGCCTCCCGAGTGCTGGGATTAAAGGCGTGCGCCACCACCACCCGGCCCAAATGTTTGTTTCTTAAACCGGGGGTTTTGTGTTGCAATTTTTATATTCTAGGTGTAGTCTATAGACTGTATATTCTCAATATTTAATTAAAACATTTAAGAGAAAGAGATGAAGAAGAAATAGTGAAATTACATCTGGAAACAGCAGCTGATGAACTGGCCTGGGGTCAGGAGAGCTCAATCCCTCCCAGAACTCCTACTGCCGCACCTTGGTGGAGGTCCTGCAACTCTGTCCTTTTATTCAAATAGGGTTAGTAACACGCACTGCGCATAATTCTTCTGGAGATGAGGCCACAGTAGTTATAGTGACACCTTGGGCATGTGCAAGTACTGGAGGACACCCACACTGTGGGAAGTGGAGCTGCTTTCTTGACGGTTTCAGACGTGCTTGGCAGAGGACAAATAATGCATCCTGGGTCAGTCTCATCCCAAACCCCAACCTGGGGACTGCCCAGTTTATGGAAACATGATGCTGCTGTTCCGCCTCCATGGGTATAAGGGTAACTAGATTATGGGATTATTGCCAGTATGCAGGGGAAGGGAAGAACAGAGCCTTGACTTGAGGAAGAGGGGTAGCAGGGCCACTCCCTCTGCCCAGCCTTCAGGTGTATAGTCCTAGGGTGTCTGCACGGAAGGGATCTGCTGTGAAGACCCCCGCTCCAGCCCCCTCCTCGGAACCTAGACTGTGCTCAAGAGCCAACTTGAAATCTTCTGGATGAACTAAAGTAGTCAGTCTGCACCTGACCACACCCAATTCTACCCCCTGCCTGCTGCACCCACCAAAATTTCCAGTGTAAACACCTCTTCACTTTTCAGTTTTCAACTATATCCCCAACGCAGACAAAAGTTTTGCTACTTGTTTTATTTCGCTTTGCTTTGCTTGCTTTTTTTTTCTTTTTTTTTTTTTTCTTTTTTTTTTTCTTTTTTTTTTTTTTAAGACTGGGTCTCACTATGCAGCCCTGACTGGCTTGCAATTCGCTATGTAGACCAGGCTAGCCCCGAACTCAATAGAGATCCATCTGTCTCTGCCTCCTGAGCGCTGGCATTAAACATGTGCGCCACCACACCCAAGGAGGAGAAGGTTTATTTAGCAGATGGACTCTGTATCTTCTGCTCCTCTCTAGCCACACACACCAGCAGAGCCTGCCGGCCTCCTGAGGAGCCAAGCATCTCCTTCCACCACCAGACTCTGCACCCGAAACAGCTCACCCTCACCCTCCAAGAGCCTCAGTCTTCTAAACCTGGAACGGGATCTGGGGGCCAGGGGCTCGGATTCCCCTTGTCTTTACAGAAACCTTCTCTTTCTTGACTTGTTTGTAACAAATGTGCCTCGGATGAAATTGATTGCCGGAAACTAAACGATGCCCCCACCATGACACTCCATGAATAGTTAACTCTGCCTCCCCTCGAACAGCCCAGACTTCCTAAGCTTTGGCTCCCATCACCTGCCTCGTCGCCATTGCCCTATCCTCAAAGGCTCGGAAAACCATTAGACTTTCCTCCCGCTCCCTACCAAGCTTCTTTTCCCCTTTCCCGGGTCCCCACCTTCCAAGCCCCACCTCCCCGCCCCCGCTTCCCTATCAGCAACCTGTTCTCTGTCCACAAGAGGGCGATCACTCCGTACCCCAAAGAGTCAATAACTGGGTGTGGGCGAGGACATTAGGCGTACTTTTCCAGAGCCACCGAATAGAACCAACGCTGAGCCGCGTAGGGGGAGCTCGGCCCGGGGACCCTCTCGCTGCCCAACAGTGCGGTGAGACCAGAAGGCAGCTAGAGAAGGAAGCTACTGCTGCTGTTTACTAACCCCCCACCCGATGCAAGAAAAGTCCACCTAATGCCATGTGGTTGACTGGAGAGGGTGGGGGAGATAAAAAGAGAAAATGGCTATGGTCTCCACATGAAGTCAAGATCTTTTCCCCTCAGGTTTTGGCCAGGATGTTGCCCAACTTGGATTAGACATTCTGAGGAGGAATATCAGCAAACGCTATCTCCATGACACCCAGACAAATCACAGCGTTCCCTACCCCTATGATTTAAGCCTTAATGTACACAATAGACAGTAACTCGATTGGCTATCTACTCTGGTGGGAATTGCGGGCTCAGCTGGCTTCCAGGGGAGTAGCCCCATGAGTCATTCTGCAGGGACAGGCTGGGTCAATATTGACAGAAAGGCCTGAAGCTGCGTCTGGAGTGCCTAAGAACCCCAACTCTGCCTTGTTTGTGGGCACCTCATGGATCACAGGTTCATGGAGCTGCCAGCTCCTCAGGTCACCACCCTAACAAAAAGGACCCTACATGTGAAAGTAGGGACAGACTCCTGAAGTGTGCCCCACCTCCAACTGGAACACAAGCAGCTGCAGAAAACTCTGTCATCCTGGGTTCTTGGTCACCTCAGGCACCCCAGATGTGCCCTTCCCCACCCCTCCCTCATACAACACACAAACACACAGTGAAAAGGTGGATGACCCAACGTCAGGGCCCATCTAGTACTTCCCCTCTCACCACACCCAGACCAAAGCATGTCTTCCAGGAGACGACTGGGGTCTTGCTGCCCTGCTTCTAACGGTCCCTAACTCTATGCCACACCGCAGATCCTCTCTCCTGGAGATCACTTAAGCCTTTGTTTAAGGTGGCTTTGCCTAGCCTAAAGACTCCCAGTGAGCTAGCAGACCTTGTCTGGGTAGGTCAGTGAGCTACTCTCAAAGATTAACTATGACTAAGACGGCCCAATGATGAGTTCAGCAGCAAACCTGTAAGCAACTGGAAACCAGTGGGGAGCCAGAACACAGGAGTAGACGTAACAAAAACAAAATATTTATTGTACAATTACCCACCACTGGATTTGACAGAGATAGGCATCCAGAGGGCATTGCTACCTTCCCATTTTACTTGAGAGCTTCGTTGTAGAGCAAAGCCAAGGCCCCCAGGAAGGCGACATACTCCTGGAAGTTTACTTCCTGATCCTTGTTGCGGTCCAGGTCGTCCATCAGCCTTGCAATCTCAGCATCCTGCAGCTTCTAATACATGAGAAAGAGAAGTCCACACTCAATGGTGGCCAACACCCCAGATTCCTTACGCCTTCCCTGGAAGCCCTTGCTCATGCAAGTGTCTCTGCTCATGGTCACCAAGGATGGGCCTTCAGCTTACGTTTACCTTTGTTTAATTCTCCTCAGTCCCTGCTCCTCCCTCAGGGGATAGGACGGCAGGCTGGGAGCATGCAGGCTTCTCTCCAAGGAAGGTAAGATCAGGAACTGTGTCCACTAGGGTGGATAGAGGTGGGAGGGGGGAACCCGGGCAGGGGCTACTCACAGAGCCGATGGTGAGCTCCTTCTGGATCAGTTCCTTCAGCTCCTTCTTGCTCAAGGTGTGCTTGTCACCCTCCTTGCCAGAGTACTTGTGGAAGATGGCTACGAGAAGGCCAATGGCCTGATCCAGGGGGCATGCCATAATTGACCACTGGGCTAGAAGAAGCTGTTGGACGGAGGGGTTAATCAGTGCTGCTGGTAGCAAAGACTTCTCCCATCATCCCCTAAGCCGGGTGACTACATATCTGAACCAGCTAGCCTCAAGCCAACACAGGTGACAGCCCAGGGCAAGTGGGGCCAGGGGTGTAAGGATGGAACCGACTTTGGGGTGTCTGAACACTGTCCTCCAGGGCTTCCAGGAGAGCTGGGGATTATGACTGAGCAAATGGAAGGGATGGAAGCTGCCCCTGGGCATCTCCTGACAGGGCCACACACTGCGACGGCAATGACACACACCCAGGGCAAACCCTCCCGCACCCCAGAAGAGCAGACTCAGGGAGCCGCCCCAAAGGGATGCTTTAGCCTCGGGGTTTGCCTGGCATAACCCAACTGATCCTGACTCTGCCTGCCTCCCCCGGACTCGGCAGACTTAGATCCCAATGCAGACCACCCGCGGAGCCCGTAGGGGCTTAACACCCCCCGCCCCCAGCCCAGGAGCAGGATGACCCTAGAGGGACCTAGGGCTGCCCCAGCAAGGGCTCCGCGGAGCTGGTATCAGCTCAGGAGCGGGCTGACCCTAGAGGGACCTAGGGCTGCCCCAGCAAGAGCTCACCGCACCGCACCGTAGACAGCAATGAGCCAAAGGAGTGGTCAAGGGGTTGGACTGTGTCGCAGTCCGGCAGGCCTTATAGCTGCCAGCATCCGGGAGGCCCGCCCAAGGAGTGCCGGCCCGCCCCAGCCCCACCCGGCGCCTGAGGCTAGCAAAACAGAACCCCAACCCCCTCAGTTTTCCACGCCTCTGCTGCCCTGTCCCGGCTTGGGAGTGGCATGAGGGAGCCTAGTCATCCCGGTCCAGGAAACCAACGAAAACCGGAGACATCGGGTTTTTCCTCATTTCCATAGTTCAGTTTGCCCTTCTGGCACGTGACTCGTGACTCTGGCATGTGTGCTGGGCCATCTGCCAGCCAGAGCACAATGTGTCCCTAAAGTTAGCATCAGTGTGAGGGGGAGTGGGAACCTCACCGATGCTGCCGTTCTCTAGTGGCAAGATCAACTCCATGAAGGAAGGGAAGCAGCCAGTGGTCTACCAGATCGTCTAAGAGAGCGGTTCTCAACCTTCCTAATGCTGCAACCCTTTAATACAGTTCCTCATGCTGTGGTGACCCCCCCTCAATCATAAAATTACTTTCGTTGCTGCTTCATAACTGTAATTTTGCTACTGTTATGAATCGCAATGTAAATATTTGTGTTTTCCAGTGGTCTTAGGCAACCCCTGTGAAAGGGTCGTTCAACCTCTCCGCAGGTTGAGAACCACTAGTTTAAGGCTTGGGATCTAGTTCTGTACGTTGATCCCAGCAGGCAGAATTTTGAGCCAACCTGAACTATAGAAAATCCTGTCTCAAAAAAAGAGGGGAGAGACACAGTCCAAAAGATTTCAGACACCATTCCCCCACCAAAAATAAATTTCTATCTAACACCATCACTCGTTTCCTCACGGACACTGCCTGGAATTTCATTGTTAGAGCAGCTTACATATTAATGTGCACACAGTGGAGCCAAGCCCATCGGGCATGCTTAGTTATTCATCTTAAGTGAAAAGTTTTGAACGTTTTCTCCTGAAGAAAAGTCTTGAGAAGAGGAAGCTGGAGGAGAAGGAGGAGGCGTTAGCCTCCTGAAGTCACTCAGATGTGGGAAGGGTGCTAAGTCTGTGCCTCCCTTTTTTACTGGGGCTGCCAGAGTGACCTCCTGTGGGTTATGCCCCCAATCAGACCAGTGGGGCCATCCCTGCACTAGTCCCCGGCCTCCTCATTCCCAAAGCGCTTTTCCTCACTGTTTCCTGGGCATCTCTGCTGCCTGGGGAAGCGTGCAAATGCCTGGGACAGCTTTGTTATTTCACAGGAGTGCAGGACAAAGCCGGGACATGTCCAACAGTGTCCACAACAAAGGACAGTCAGTGGAGTGGGGTGAAAGCCCACCCTTTGTCCCCACAGGCCGCCAGTGTGTGGCCTGAGGCCGAGTGGCTCAAAAAACATCTGTTTGTACTCCCCTGCCTCAGCCAATGGAGATAAACCATCTCAAAACCAACACATGGAAAGGAAAAGACTTTATTTCTCTACTGGAAGAATCCATCTGTGAGAAAGAGAAAGACCAGGGGCATAAGAGGAGCCATTCAGGAGGCCTCAGAGGACAGGACAAGGAGCTCCCGGTGAGGCGAGAGAGGACCCTGGTCACTTGTTGTCCTCTAGGAAGAAGTCATTGTAGGCCATGCACAATGTGGTCAGGAACACGGAGTACTCCTTGAAGTCGATCTCCTGGTCGCTGTTCTTGTCCAGGCTCTTCATCAGGTTATCAATGCTGCTCTCCTTCATCTTCTGCAAGGGCCCAGGGGAAGGAGACTGCTCAGCAGCTTGGCCCCAACCCATATCTTTACCACAGGGCCTGACACCAAATGGGATCACGGACCTGAGTGCTGATTCCAAATGAATTACGCTCGGAAGGCTAGTCTAGCCTTTGCTCCTGGGACATCCTCCCATCCAAAAAAAATATGATCTATAATCTATACAAATGCCTACAAAAAACAGGTTGAGTCCTGGGCTCTGCAGCCATGAGCATCATCCGAGTCCCAGACTTAGACAGCCCATATTGTAAGGCCAAGCTGGGAAAGGACCCAGACATGACTATACACTTCTCTCTAAGATCAGTACACTGGAGCTGAGAAGCCAGCATGCCCCCAGCCCCAGCCTGGCACTGGATGTCCTCCCAGTTTGGTCCCTGCACCCTGGCTTCTCTAGGAAGTTCTACTTAGGGTAGAACAAGCAGGCAGACCCTGCTCTTCCTCTATTGCAATCAGTTCCAGGTCTCCCTTGGATACAGGATGTTGATACCCAGGATGCTGGAAACAGCCTCTCTGTAACATGACCCTGGTCCCCAGACTAGGCTCCTCCCCTGGGGCTCTGTCCCCTAGTAATTAGCACCTGATGGACCAGTGGCCTTTCCCTCTACCTTCATTAACTCCAGGACAGCAGAGTGGTTTCTGGTATTGAATACATACATACCAGGCCAGTCATGGTGGCTCTCAAGAAGCAGAGGCAGGTGGATTTCTGTGAATTGGAGGCCAGCCTGGTCAGGAGCTACAGAATGAGTCTGAGGACAACCAAGGCTATACAGAGAAACCCTGTCTCAAAAAGAAAAGAAAATGTGTATGCCGTGGTGAACTTCATGTACCTTAGGGAAGCCACAGAGAGGCCTGGGAACAGTGACACCTGCTTCACCCCTACCCATGGACATACTCCAGGAACCTTCTTCCTGAGGAAACAATGGGATCTGGTACTTTATTGTAAAGATAAATAGGAGGTTGGTGCAGAGGCCTAGCCTGGACTTCCAGGTCAGCCTCAATGGACAAGTTCTCTGATGCATTTGAGGCTCAATTACTTTATCTTATAGACCTTCAAATTAGCCAGCCACCCCTCCTATCATGTCCATCTAATGGGAACCAATGCGCTCTCCTTCCTACCCCATGTTCATAAATTCGTCTGTTTACTTGACAACATCACTTAGGACATTGGCTGTGCCAGGCACAGAGGAGAATCAAGAAGAATCCCTATCCTTGAGTTATGCACAGCCAAACCTGGCACCCACATCCCTCAGACCCTCAAGATCCCTAACACAAGCTATGCAACCTGTCATCAAAGTCTCCTTTATCTGATCCTATAGGTTCCCAAAGGTAGTAGCACACCCCAGACTCACTTCCTTTCCAGTGAGACTGATTCATCCCCCAGCACAGAGGTCTAGAGCCGTGGTAGCCAGAGATGCCGACCACTTCCTCTATCTCTGGCCCTTCAGCCATCCTGCCCCTTGCTTAGGCTAGAGTACCCTGCAGTAGGTGGACATCTCCCAGAAGGGGTGCTCAGAATGTATAGTGGAGTATGAGAGAATGGTCACCTACCTCTGCAAGACTCAGTTCTGTCTTGATCAACTCCTTCAGTTCTTTCCTGCTCAGGGTCAGCTTGCTCCCCTCTCTCCCTGAATATTTATGGAATGTGGTGACCATGGTGGTCAGGGCCTTCTCAAGAGGAGTCTCCATCACGATGTGCACTCTGGGGTGAAAGAGGGGACAATCACAGCACTGGAGAAGCTGGACTTGCTCCTCACCAGTCATACCCAAAGGCCCTCTTGGCAACCACCATTGACAGGAGCCCCCAGTGAGACCAAATTCCATCAACAAGAAGATCGCTGTACATATAGACAGGTTATAATGAGAGCCATGACAAATACTGGCAGCCAAAGCTGTCCAGCCCCCAAAGGAGGCTGTGGGCTTCCCTGATTAAGAATGCTGACCAAGAGATCCAGGAGCAAAGAGGGTACAGGACAGCCTCTTCAAAAGAACAGGATTTTTATCTTCCCCCACACAGTTTAGGTTCTGGCTTTCCAGCCACTGTTCCCACCTAGTCTCCCTCCTCTTTCCAGCCTCTGAGTCACTTTAGACGAAGGAGAGGTCTCATTGTAAGGGTGTGGGAGCAAAAAAGGAGTCCAGGAGTCAGAGAGGGTTGGGGCTGAAACTGGGAGGTAAGATCTCAGCAGGAAGCAGGAGAGAGGTGACTGGACTTGCCCAGTGAACTCCAGTCTACTGCCCAGAGAGTTTCACCCATTGCCTGATAGGGGCAGGGGCGGGTGGGTATGGACATGGCCAGGATCTTATGAGATATGGCTCTAGTGGTTCTAGAGCCACTCCCCAAAAGAGCAGACAGCTGGAGCTTGTGGAACTCGGGTCTAAAAACCACTTCCCCTTAAAGAGGAAGGAAACAAAGCCCACAGTGGAGGCTTCTGCAGATCCTGGGGAGAACCCTGAGCTGGATAGGAGGGTGGGGACTCCTACCCTGACTCCTATGTCCAACCCAAGAAGTTCTTGAGTTGGACTGAACCCATCATTCATCTCCTGCCACCCAGACTATCAGCTTCTCCCGGCCTCATGGATGCTCAGCTGGACCACAGTTCAAGGCAAGGAAGGGACTCTGAGCATCTGCCGGAACATCTTGCTAATTGCACTCTACACCTCCTCCCTCCCTTCTCTCTCTCCCCGAGACAGTGTCTCACCATGTATCCTAAGATGACTACTCTCAAACTCATGATCCTCCTGCTTCAGCGTTCTTGCTCCTAGGGTTGGATTCTCAGGAAATCCTGACAGTCACAATTCCACGTACTCTGCCCTCTCCTCCCTAAGTACACTCCCACTTGTGAGGCCAGGCCTTCCTTGTGGAGGTTTCCACATCCTGTCACACTCTTCCTAGCCCAGGCTGGTGCAGCAGAAATGAAGGTCATCTGAAGGAAGGACTCACCAAGGAGGAAGTGAACCTGGAGGATCGAAGCTGCAGCTGCAGCCTCTCTGCCAGTATCCTCTGTTTTTATTCCCTCGTCCCCAATGCCCAAAGGAACCAGGAGGCATGGGGCCAATGAGAAGGGATCAGAGATGTGAGGAGTTCCAGAAAAGGTTGAAGGGAACCCCTTCTGGAAACTTTGACTTGCTGTTTACCAGCAGGGCTGGAGGTGGCAGGTGACGTTAACCAAGGCATACACATTTTCAATACCAGAAACCATTTTTCCTACTAAACCTCACCATCTGGTGAAGCCATTGGCTGAAAAAGGCAAGTTGGGCTCTCCAGAAAAGAAACAATAGGAAGTGTGGCCCATACGTCTATCTCCCCATATCCTGGGCTACTCCCCACGTGGAGACCCTCCATCCTCACACACTAGTCCAAGAGCACAAAGGACCCATC